CAATGGCTGTTTCACATTTCTTTCCTACTGGGCTAGTCACAACTACAGTAGTCCTCAAAATTTTATCACAGATCTTCAAATGATGCTAGGGAAGTGCCACTGGAGTAGAAGTTGATCTCTAAAGAGATTCTGTTAGTCACTGTTTTGTGACATGATGCAGCCACCATAAAATTGACAAATACACATCCATTTGGCCATCTCCTTCCATGAACACTTAAAATTTTCACTTGTTTTTCCTTTACTTACCTAATTATGTGATATGTTAATATGTCTTTAATAATTATTTGACAGACCAAACCTAGTGGCAAAATCATAAAATGGATAGTGCAGCCTAGGTAATTTAGAATACGCAATGTGCAATTTCCTTGCTACAGTGCATCATGTCTACTTAGAACTTTTCATATTTTGGGGTTTTTTTAAGTGATTTTGTTTCCTTTTGCTTTTCAGTTGTACTGTTTTTGCTGTTCTTGTCTTCTTCCTACCATCTTGCTGACTTTCTATTCAGTCTTGAGTTTCTTTGTCTTTTCTATTTATAGAGAATCATGTCATGTAGACAGTTGCCCATTGGGAACTCATTGCACTTTCTCCCACATAGCAGTCACCAGTTGGTAAGAGCTTTTGGTTACTACTGACAAAGGCTGTATAGGAGCTGCCTAAGAAGTAGTGAAAGGTTCTGTAAGACCACTCTGAATCCTTGAACCACTGTTAAATTCCCCCAAAACACAAATCTGAAATGACACAATCTGCTAGTCACAGGTACTATGGGCAGTATAGTCAAACTGTGTTACCATGCTCCTCCATCCATGTTGTACTCATGGATCATCTTCCTTATATCTGTTTATCAAGCAATCCCCCCTTATAAAATTCAAACCTTTGAGCAGCTCCATTCTGGAATGTTGCTTTTGTCCTCTTTCATTTTACCTTACACACTCCACCTGTTACAGGGAGCACCTAGCTTTGCAGTAGCTGCTCTGACACATTTAACAGCACAATTATAGATGACTTGGTAACCACCCATTGACTAAAAATAACCTAGCAACTGAAGACACACTTAGGTATTTATACTTAGATATCCCAGAGGAACCCTTCACAGCTCCTGTAGCTAGGGAAAACATATGTATCTCACCAAACGCAGTAGGCTAGGAATCCTCAGGGGTGGGAGTAGGGGGACATAGGGGAAGTGATAACATTGCACAGCTGAAAGATTTTCCAGACAACAGTCTGCCAGCTAATCCAACTCTTATCCAACTAGCTCTGCAATTAAGGTTTCCTACTGAGAACAATGACAGCATTATGACCTGGGGAATTTTCTACAGAAAAAAAAAACAACTCATCTGGGATTACAAAATTTAGAGCCTTAAAAAATCCAGTTCCTACACTGATGGTACTTGCAACCAGTACAGATCCAGAGGAACTAGTGCCAGTACGCATATGAGAAAATACATGAGCTGTAATGAATGAGCTGCCAATGAGGAGGGAGCCAGGGCACCATATCCTGTGTGAAGAACCTGCAGTGCTGAAATTCATTCTTGCCTTCCAGAGTACAGATAATTTTTTTATACAAGTTGTACCAAGTTTTCACCCAACCTGTTCAGGAAGAAGTATTCTAATGTCTGGAGAAAGAGACATTTAAATGATGTGATTTAATTTCTATGATATATGATTACATATGCTATGGCTGCCTATGGATAGTTTTATATAATTGAGGGGGAAAAGAAACTCAGTATTAAATTGACAGAACCACACATGTCTTAATGGAGAACTTGTAATACTACAGTGTCTGTCCATCTTTTCCTACTCCCAGTTTTTCCAGTTTGTTTATGGCCTTCATCTGTTCCTGTTTTACAAATGTCTTCATATAGCTAAAAAGAACTGAATAGCTAGCAATTTACATCCAAGAGGAGAACTACTAATCTCAAAGACAGAGTCTACAAGGTCTCAAGGGCCTTTCTACCTACCTCCAGTTGCAAGATTTTTGCCTCAAAATGATAATGAAGTATTCAAGGCTGGGTTGGATGGGCCTCTGAGCAACCTGATCTAGGGAAAGATGTCCCTGCCCATGGCAGAGGGCTTGAGCTAGGTGATCTTTGAAGGTCCCTTCCAACACAAACCATTCTGTGATTCTGTGATTCTATGATAATTCAGAGAGAGCATACAACTACTGAAGCTCACAGTTAAGACTGTTGGGCAAGGCATGGGCTTGAATGTCCCAATGATAATAGGGCTATTCACAAACATCACAATGAAATTGAGAGAGCTTATCCTCATATTTTTACTTTTTATATATTTTAAGGTCATCTGGATTTTTTAACACTTCTCAAAATACAATTTTTTAGAAAAAGGATTTGTGTTATAAGCAGGGTGATTAAGCATATGAAATTAATGGAATTTAGTTATGATCCACATATTATGATTTCTAGCATCAGTTCCTGAGGGTCTAGCCTAAATGCACACAATTAAAATGCTGTAACATCCAGTTAATAAGTTCTTATTTGAAAATGAGAGAAAACCATGCTGAATAAGCAGTCACTCTATGTCTCAAGTCACAGCAGACCTTTATAGAATGGCCAATAGCAGTGTTGTATGGAAAAGTTAATAAGCTAATACATTTGCGGGTCTTGTTGCTTCCTCCCAACTTAGTGGAGGGAGAAAAAAAAAAATCCAAATTTTATAGGACTGAATTTTACTATACAAACTCATGCTCACTGGCAACTTAACCAATAAGGTCTTTGACCTATAGCTTGAACTTTAACCAGAGAATTTTCTTTACTTTTATTTAGCTGTTGACTTTCCACATTAAAACATAGATATGAGAAAAAATTATCAGGAGATGAAGTCAGGCCACAATCAACACTTTTAATTCTTTCCATTAGTGATTTGTTCTGTAGTAAATGAGAGGGAGCTGCAGTAAAAATGGAGCATATTCAGAACAATCCAGGTACCTCCACAGTTAGTTAGAACAGGTTCTGAACATATGAGGAAGAAACATCAAATGTCTCTATAATATTTGAGCACACTGGGTGATATTACTGAGGGAAGAGGTAGGTAATCTTCGGTTGCTAATAAGCTAGTGGAGGGGAAACAAATATTTTTAAGACAATTGTTAAGTTCAGATGCTTTAAAAATTATTCAAAACCTCAAATAAACAGTTGAAAATTGTTACATGCACAAAATGAACAATTATTACATTTTAAGTATAAATTAAAATGGGTTTACCACTATGGCACTCTTTTTCTGGGTCTGTGTTTAGGACTTAATTCCAAAAACCTTGAATAAGTAAGGGAGAAAATGTGTTTTAAATTTATAATCTCGAATCTTAGAAAACAAACTTGCTTGTCATTCTGAAATAGAACCCAATAATTTTATAAGCCATTCATGTATAATATAGTTCACTAGTTTCTGATAGTAAAGAGAAAAAAAAAAAAAATCATTAGCCAGTCTCTAGCTTTTATTCGATATGGCCATTTAATACTAAATGGTATAAGAAATATTTTGTTCAGTAGGATGAAAATGGATTACAGCAAGGTAATCTGAGATTTATTACTGGACTCTGTAGAATTAACACACTGGAGGCCCATCTATATACACCTGGGTTGGGATAATAACACGAACTGCAGATTAATATAACATTCCCTTGCATGCACAACCTATATATTATTTGCTTCTCTGTTTTTGTGGGAAGTTTACTTCTTCTTTTTATCAGATACTTTAGGCAGCCTAGAGTTCACTGCAGTTAATGAAGTAGCCACTGTATAGCAGCTTCCCACAAAACTATTTGTGAAAATCATATTTTTAAAGGGAAACGTCCTCTTTGGTTTTGTTTTGAATTGTGCTGTTCTAATAGGAATAATTTTTCTGCATGCTTACATTGTTTTTAAAATAGAAAGCTTTAATTACAGTATGAAATGAAGCATCTAAGATTTTGGCATTTAACAGAAAGCCACCTTGGCACATGGGGCAGTATTATCTTTGTTAAGTTGCAACTTAAGCTAGCAACAGTGCACAGCCTGAACTAACTTCTGTAAAAATCCTGGAGATGTTGTAGCTGATTCAGCTGGATTTCAGCAGGATAAAACATTGCAAAGAGCATTACACAACCATTATAAGAGATAGAACATCCTTCTCTACAGCAGAATATACAGTGTCCCTGGACATTGCTTAAGCTTAAATATAGAAGCAGTGAAGTGGATCACAGATCCCTCCTTGTGCCAGCTCCTGGGAGGTTTTAGCATCACACCTGTGCTGGACTGTCCCAACCATGATACCCATCAGCAGACTTTTGAACAAGAGGCAGAAAGCTGTCTCAGATTTCTTCACGTAATTTACACTCAGTGAAAGCCCCACACCAACACCCCGTGTCTATACTGTCTTTTATGCACAGGTTCAAGTTCACTAGCTCATATGTTTTTAGTTGCCTGTGTCCATATCCAAAAGGGCAAATGAGTCATGATAGCTAACTTCTCCTAACTGAACAGGAGTGTATAAGGCAATATGTATATAGAAGAGATGATCCAGGAATTAAAGCTTGAATGTGAGTGTAAGTCTTAAACTAGCATATTGGTTAAGCCATTCCCACAGAAACAGTTAGCTTTGATCCTAAAGTCACAGCAAAACTCTGAATATGGTTTACCTCACCAGTATACTAATATAATGGTAATATTATGGCATTACATTAATATATTATACATTGAATGGCTACTACAGAAAAAGTAGACACATTAGAAGTGGGTAATGATGAATTAATGATTTTATGTATTAATTACCACATAGAGATTAGATATTATATTAAATTTTTTAAAATACTTGTTATGTTTTGTTTTGGTTTTTTTTTACAAAAAAATGTTTATTTCATTTTGTTTGACATTTCAGATGAAACTGGTAGAGTCTATTCTGTCAGTAATACACAGAATAATAGGTCAGTAACACAGTTTATAAACTATATGCTCTCAATCCATGCCATAGTGCTTTCAGAATGTGTCAACACTCAGTAATTTCCTTACCCAGCTCAAAAGCATCTTGGAAGCACCCCGGGCAATGTCTCATATACAGCCATTGAGGGTTATCCGCTCCAAAATAGCTGTTATAATCTGAATGGAAGAACCATAAATGATTCAATTGAAATCACTTCTGAAAATGCAAAAGGAAATGAACACAGAATAAACTACAACATTAGGGGGTCTAACAGCCCGCAAACATGAAGATTTAGAATTGAAGACTTGGGCTTTTCCCCTTACAGTCATCCTACTGTATGTAACAGCTACTTTAAGACGTTGAGCACAGTATTCATAAAATTGACCTTCACTGATTTTAGAAGAGCTTTTTGCATCATATCAGATATAAGTTAGCTAAACGCATCCAACTGCATCTGACGTAACTGAAATGTGGTAAAAGGGTCTCTCTGTCCCCCCTCTCTCCTCTCTTTGAAAGAGGTTAAGTATTCCTATCTTCCCCATAAAGGAGATATAGTATAGTCTATAGCACTTATCTAGTTATAGCTTTCATAGTAAAACTGTGTTAAATAAAATCTCAAAATCTAATGCCACCAAATGTTGGATACACAAACAGCTTGCTATGTGGTTTTGGTTTTTTGTTTTTTTGTTTTTTTTCCTTTGTGAAGAAACAATGCCAAAAACCCCCCCACTTTTTTCACAGAAAACTAATGGAATTCTATAAAACCAGAACAAATCAAACTCCCAAAACACATGACAATTACTTCTAGAAACAAGGGACTAGCAAAAGACAGTATACTAACTAGAATAATCGTTATGGTTAAATAGGATATTTTAGCTTTATTTTGAATGCCACCCACATTTTTTATTGTTTTCTTCTCTTTGCCTACACATAACAGATTTTTTTTTTCTTCCATTAGGTTTTAAAGTCTTTTTTTTTTGTTTTATTTTTTTTTTGTTTTGTTTTGTTTTGTTTTGTTTTGTTTTAAATCACTTCAGAACAATATAGAGGAGATGAGAAGCAGGTGTGTACTTTATCTAGTAAACTGAAATATTAGACAGTACGAGCAAGATAACATCTAATTGTGTATTAAGTATTGCCTGAGGGATCGGCAAGGGAGAAGTTATTCAGCTGATGTAAACATGTGCAAGTGGCATCAATCCTAAAGACATGCCATAGGTATGAAAGTGTGTATCAATAATGTTGGCCTGTCGAAGTGGATAGAATCAGTATATGACCCATGACCTCCTACTGTGAGAAATAGCTGCAATTTACTTTGCCATAAGGAAAAGGCCTTACTCTTTCCAGATTATGTACCCTGCTGCTTCTCATACAGAAAAGCATCCTCAAGAAGGCTGTCATTAAAACACAGTAATGCAGCTGTAGTAGCTTGAGTAGGTTTAACTGTTGTCTTTTCCTTTACCATACATACTGGCAAAGATGTGCATCTTCCTTTTGACAGAGGTAACATAGAACAAAAAAATTTTAACAGAAATTTAGATTTTCCACTGTTTGTGAATGCTCATCTTTTTAAATTGGCTAACTATCAGAACTGAGTTTTTCAAACAGGCATCTTTTGTTTTTTAAACTGCTTTTTTCAAACTATATTAATCTTTATCATCCCAATTGTTTTTTTGTGTATGATGCATACAGTGTATCAAAGAGGATTAGTTTGACACAAAATGTAAAATATTTCCTATTTTTTAAGAAGATAAAAGTAATCCTTTGAGTTACATTTTTTCCTGGATATTTTGGTAGAGATTTTATTATCATGGCAGTAGTCTACTAAGAAAATATATTCATACAGGAAATTTTTGGTAGTGAACGATCTGACTTAAATAATCCCTAATAAACAGAAACATAAATAAACTAAAATTTGAAAAAAGATGTTATGGTATAAAACATCTAAGTGAAAATAATGTTTCATTAACAACTGTTAATGATGATTCCTCTCTTTGACTTCATTGATACTTTTTATTCAATCCTGCACGAAGTTATACCACAAAAGCTGGAATTCTGATTAAGAATCCCCTAACACAGGTCTTGCATTTACTGACAAACTGGAAGAAAAGATGGCAGTACTGAGTCTTTAGCTAAACCCAGAAGACAGGATACATGAGGCTGGGAGCAGCCTGATGGTTGTGAATCCAAGTTAAGATTAGTAGTTGATGCTTGTTTTCTCTTTTATAATAAGTTTTTACAATGCTGCAGTGGTGTACTTTACTTCTTGCTTTCATTTTCAGTTCTTCTGTCCAGAGTTGTATCTGTTATGTACGTGTGTAATAGAGGATAATATCAACCCCATTCAACTCCCAATATTCAGAGAGGAAAAAAAAAAAAAAGACAAAGCTCTCTTCTCCTGCATTATGAGGAAAGTCTTAACCACAACTTTAAAACAATATTCATCTTGAGAAGCCATCATGTCACAAAGCATTTCCACTATCACTCATATGGGAACTTTATTAAAAGCAATCCTATTCAGTACATATTCAAACAACAATAGTGCAGAGATGGACTTCACAGCAAACTGAAAATTAGTAACAAGCGATCATATGAACCCCAGAACAAATTAGGCTTATTTTCCTGAATGTTTACATCTTGTAATTGACCGCAGGCATTTTGTAATTTCCTACAGTTGGATATTTTGTAACACCATGTTGATTCTCTATATTTAATATGGTAGGAGAGGACATAGTATCCATTCCCACACTGGGACATTTATAGGGTCTCTGTCTCCTAATAATCACCTATATTCACAAACCTTTTGAAACTTATATTTGAGACTTCTGTCTCTCTGAGAAATTTGGTTGAACTCAGCCCCCAAATTAAAAAGTTTTACAAGGATGAACAACAGATATCTTGTTTCCTGAGCCTCAGAAACTGCAGGGCCCTCTTCACTGTCCTCAGGGACTGCTCACAATCTTCCAAATCCATTACTTCCACAATTTGTCTGCTGCCACTAGATTCTACATATAAAACCAAAACAAACCATAATAAAACAAAACCATTTATGAAGTCTTTGCAGGACGTATAACCCGTATTTTCACCAAGTCCTCACAAAGTCCTTGGGAATATTGGATACTCTTTTCCTTCTCCTTGATGCTATTGCTCTGAGCCCCATATTCAGATTTTAATACTGTACAGCACTCAGCCAGGCAAATTATCAAATCAAATTACAGTGGCTTACCAATTTACCTCCCATCAGCTCTAAAGCAATACCTTGTTAACCTGCTATAACTGCACTGTGAATCTGAACTGAACATGTATGAGTGAAGGTTATTTTAGAAAGAAAGGACAGACCGAAAGAGCAGCTTATATCCACAAGGAAAAAATAGGGTAGACATTTGAGCAAACTGTTTAACTTTAAAGGCAATTAGGCAATGGAATGACTTGCCTGAGGAGGTAGTTTAGACAATGTAATGAGAAGTGCTTAAAATAGAATACACTATTTGTGAGACAGACACAGATGTAAATAATCCTCCATGTTTTGAACTAGATGAATCAGGAGAGGTATCTCTTCTATTCAAATGTCTGACTATAAAAATTCTATTCTCTTTCCTTGGGAACAGCTTTCAAACTTATGACTGTTTACACCTGTTCTGAATACTAAAGTGAAACTGCACTCCAAAAGGCAGTTTAACCTCACTGTATCATTATAAAGTAGATTTATTCATAACAAGCATCTATGAAAAACTTCCAGCAAAAAAGGCCTTAGTCAGGGAGATGCACATTGTTGCAAAAATGGATTGTTTCTCTAAGTGCTTATATGGCCCCATCGCTATAGCATCCAAGCGCCTTACAAACATTAATGAATGTATTCTCACAACACCCCTGGGAGATAGAGATAGTATTATTAGCTAATGCACAAAGAGTAGCTTGTCCAAAGTCACACAGAAAGTCTGTGGCACAGCCAAGACTCAAAACTGTGATTTCCTGCCCACTGCCGTAACCATGACTATATTCTCCTATCCATATACAGCATTTCAAAATATGTTGCATATAACCTCAGATCTTTACACAATAAGCCTTTCTGTTCACTGCAGATCCAACTGCTGACTTAATAAATAAAACTGACTTTGTTTATCAGGAAGCTTCATTATGGCAACAAATTTGCAGGTTACTGAAACAATGACAGTTATATGGGCCATAACTGGTTCTGATATATGAGAGCACTGAAAGAATTACTTGGTCATCACATTCAGAACAGGAGGCATCATATCTAGAACATGATTTTGATACCAAAATATTTTCCTTCAGATAATGTAAACTGTTACATTATACATAGAAGTCTAGTTTTGAGGGGAAAAAAAAAAAAAAAAAAAGCTAGCTGTATTCCCTACATAGTTCCTTTTGGATAAACTATTTCTGTAATAAGACATATACAGTAGTTTCAGTTTTAATGAGGTCAAATCTGGATGGACAACTGCAGTAAGTGTATTTACCCCTCAATATTAGAGATCAGAATTTGGCCTATAAATTTAATATTATAATAATGCAAATATATTTATAAATATATATAGGTTTGTAGTCATTTAGATTAATTTTAATGAATTCAGAGATCTGATCAAATGATAACAGGATTCTTCTGAATCAAGAACACAGCAACTTCTATTTCATTTTGGCAGGGGGGAAGGACAGGCATTACATTTTTCCTTTAGTTCTAATCAATTAAAAAGGAGAAAATAGAGGACAACTGAATAAATAATGGAAAAGTGTTTGAAGGTGTAGTAGATCACAAAGTGAATAATGGTCAAAAAAATACAATACTGTTGCAATGAAGAGAAGTATAATTTTGGAATTCATTGGCAGAAACAATAGACAAGGTAAGTAGTGTCTCCTGAACTTCACTCTTGAAGTTCCAACAGCAGCATTTTTCTCAGCTTGTGGCTTCATATTTTGAGAAAAATGTAGATAAATTAGACTTGGGTTTAATTAGAGCTACCAATATAGCAAAGGGGATTTACATTAGATGCTAATTGAAAACAGCCCAGCTATCAAGACAGTTAAATGATGGAGCAGATTACCATTGATGGAGAATCCACATCTCAGACATGTTTAAGAACAAGTTAAATAAATACCTGTTAGGGGTGATCCTAATTCACATAAAAGGATAGACTAGATTGTATCCTCAGATCCA